ATTCATAAATGGGCATCTGAAATGAATAGAAATTTCTTAGATGAAGTAATACAAATGGCAAACAAATATACAAAAAAATTGCTCAACACCACTGGTCATTCATGACATGCAAATTAAAACAATCTTGAGATTTTATGTCACTCCAGAAGGAATGGCTAGCATCAAGAAATCAATAACAAAAGCTTGCAGGGTTGTGGGGAAAAGGAACTGTTCTCCACTGCTGATGGAAATGTAGACAGGTGCAACCACTGTGGAAGTCTTTGTGGAGATTGCTCAAAAAACTAGGACTAGAAGTCCCATTTGACCTAGCTATTCCCTTTCTTGGTATCTTCCTAGAACAATTAAAAACATCATACCACAGCAATATATGTGTAACCATGCCTATAGCAACACAATTTGTAATAACTAAATATTGAAAACAATTCAAATGTCCATCAATCAATGAATGGATAAAGCCACAAAGGAGGATAAACTTGAGACATTTCTTGGTAAATGAATGCACTTTGAGAACATACTCTTCAGTGAAATTAATTGAACACATGTGTAAATATCACATCATCTCACTGGTGTGAGCAACTGAAAGTGCAAAAAGAATCAAAATATATCATAATAAATACTGTGACATAGAAATTGTTTAAAAGGAAAGGGGGATGGGGTGTGGGGAGGAATAAAGGGGAAAGAAAAAATAGGAAAAAAAAGGATAAAATGGAATTTTCTGATTTTGATTTTCACTTAGATCATTGACCTACTTTGGGTGAAATTTGGTAGATGATTTGAGATATGCACCAAGCTTCATTTTATTGCAGGTTGATGTCCAGTTATCCTGTTATCATTTGTTGAAAAGTTTTTTCCTGTACTTAATTGTCTTGGCATCTTGGTTGGAAATAACTTTCCTTAACTATAGGGGCTTATCTCTGAACTCTCAGTGCCTTTCTTGATTATTGCAGTCTTGTATCAAGTTTTAAAATTGTCAAGGAAGAGTTCTGTGGCCTCATTCTTTAGTAAGATAGTGTAGAGTACTCTGAGTCTATTATTCTTTTGCTCACCACATACAAAGTGTGATCAAAATATATGGCAAATGTTTAAAATTATTACGGTAAAAGGCACATTCACCTTCATCCCCCTCAACATACCCTCCTCTCAACTCTAACACATCTATCTCACTGTTCCTGTCACTTTATTTCTCCTCTGACTTATAGAACTTTAGTTTCTATTTGCATATATTTGTAATAAGTAATAATTAATTTGGGGAATTGGTAAATGTATATCACACACTGATCATTTTTGATCCCAACCCCACCACTTTCTGGAGCTGGAAGTCTTCTTTCATGAGTATCTTCATGAGCTGTGATGAAATAATATTGTGAATGCTGCTGCTGAGTGTCAGTCAACAGAAAGGCAGGGGCGTAAAAACATCAGCGTGTCCTCACGCGCCTTATTCACTGCACCTTGCAACTTCTGGCTCTTCCCCAAAGTCAAAATGACCATGAAAGATGAATGCTCTGAATCCATTCAGAATATCCATGCAGTCACGACAGTACAATTCAAGACACTCCTGAAAGAGGACTTCCAGCACTGTTTCAGGAAGTGGCAGGTACAAAAGGTTAGTGTGTTCGAAGGGAATGGGAGGATTTCAAGGGGCATCATTGGCAATGTGTCTTTTAGTGTAATACATTAAAAACATTTCAAATATACTTTTGATCATGCTCCTTATCTTTGCAATAACTTCACATCCATTATTTGACTTTTATGATTTTTATGCAGAAGTTTTATTTTTTTCCAGTTCTTGTCAAAATGTAAGTTTATTTTTTTGATTTTTGAGACAGGGTCTCCCCATGTAGTCCAGGCTGGCTCTGAGTCCCTTATTTAGCCTAGAATGGCCTTGTACTCAGGATACTCCTGCCTCTGCCTCCCAAGTGCTGGGTTTACCACGCCTGGCTGGGGGCCTATTCTTTCTCTGATCAGTGTGCTCACTTTAGTTCAGTTACACTTGGAAGCTGAGAGTTATAATTGTTCCATAAAGCAGCCAATCATATGATAGGGGCTTGTGCTGGTTTTCAGTGACTTTAGCCCTATGGCTACAGGAGTGAAGATTCTCCTTCCAGACACACTTGAAACTGAAGAGGCTAGGTTAAGGGACAGTCCAAATAGAAGATCATGTCAAGGGAACTGGCGAGGATCACGAGGTTGCAAGACAGTCTCTAGAGACTGTTAACTGTACAGAATAGCTGTAACACAGTGTATACTTGCAAGGCAGCCAGTCAGTTCAGAGAGCTGAGTAAGCCTCCATCCAGACAGTTCTCATTTTTTGCTTTAAATTTTTAATTTTAAGACAGGGGCTCAATAAGTAGCTGAGTTATCCAGGCTGGGCTGGAATTTGTGATCTTCCTGCCTTAGTGTCCCCAGGAGCTGGGACTCCAGGCATGGGACACGAGAGCCAGCTCAAAATGTAATTTATAAAAACATTCATATACAAGTTTGCACTGCACATTTGTAAAAAGATTTAGTTAACTCACTGAAGAAAGATGGTACAACGAGTTCCACTTATCCAAAAACATATTTATTGAAAGTATTTAGAAACAGATATTAAGCCTGCTGGGAAAGGAATGTTGCAATGAAACTGATAAGTGACATATAAAGTAGGTGAACTTCCCACAAAGCAACAAAACTGCAATCTTCTAAGCTCTTTTCTACTGAACAGAAATAGTTTCCATTTCTAGTGAATAAAATTATGTTCAGCTTATTAACCTTCCTCAAACTAAAGTATGAGTGAGTTTTCACCATTTAGGCACTAATAAAAGATGCTAAATAGTTATGCTGAATAATAATAAAGTTACATTTTCCTAGCGACTTAGGGAATCCTTCAGAACAGCTGTCAAAGGTCCAAAAAGCATTAAAGGACATTCAATCATCTTTGCTTCTTTCCAATCTTTGAATAATTTTTCTTTAGGTTTGTCATGAAACACAGAGATACTGCAAATACATTACGAAGTGAAGAGGGCATGCATGCTGAACTATGCAAGTCCTTATTTCTTGGTTAACTGAATGGATGGCTTTACCAGGCTTCTGCCATTCATTAATTCCTTATTATGTATCAACAGTATCACGGGGCAGGGAGGTGTCCTTCTAACCTTTAAGCTTCTGAAGACGCCAACCTCTGAGTTTTAAATATATGCTCATTTTATTGATCTTTTCGTTTTTGATGTTTATATTATTTTCATATTTGAAAGAAATTATATTTTAAGTATAGATTAGCTTTCTACACCCATTTTTCTGTTTATTACCTTTTTAAAAAAATGAGCTATGAAAATAATTACTCCTTACAAAAATGCAGCATAATTGCCCGTTAAGACAAACTCTTGCAAGTTCCTCTGTAACCAAGTGCTGTCCAATTTCACGCTCCAGATATTGCTGCTGTTGGTAGTGTGTCTTCAGTCCATCTTCTATGCATATGGGCATGTACAGTAGTTAAAAAGTAAGACCTAACTATAAATATTGCTTAGCACCTTTTTTTTTTACTTGGCAAGATAGCAGGACATCTTTCCACATGTAGATCAATCTCATACTTTTTTTTTAACTCTGAAGATGTCTTTCCTATTCCAAGATTATAAAAATATCTTCGTATGTCATCACCTACTATTTTGTGCTGTGCCACTGATTTGTACCTCATTTATTTTTTCATGTAATTTACAACAACGGTGGCATTGGCAAAATTCTTAAATGTCACCCTATCCACAGTAGTGCGAAATGATAATAAAGGGCTGCTTCTCTCCCCGCCACACATACACAACCGAGGGTCCTGAATAATTCCTGCCTCTTGACTTAACTCGTTGCTTAAAATGACTGAAGACTTGTGCACGCTGTCACCTGTGCACCAGGGTGTGTTTTCCTTCCCTTCCACTCTTCTTTTCGTACTACTGTGCCCCAGCTCTACTATCTTATAAATGGGTGCGTCTCCGTGGAGAGTTTAAAAGATCCCCTTGGAATGACTGCCCTATATCACAGCAGTCTGCTCTTGCACCAGACAGCTTTGAAAAAGTTAACGGATTAAAGAGTGGAACTTGTCATTCCCATTGGGGTGAATGCTAGAGCACTGACCCTATTACAGACTTACAAGTTTTGATTTTTATGTAGACGCCTTGGGCCACCTGCTACACCTTCTTGGGCAGGGCTGCAAAGGTTACAGGTAAGCTCCTGTTCTTGCAGGCCCAGCGGTCTTCCAGGTCCCGTCCCAGAAGGGCTCTGGACATAGAGCAAGGAGAGTGCTCTGGTTTCTGTCTTTCCTACTAGGCTTCTTTAAGGTCTAGCCTCCGGTTGTTCCTTTTCCTTGGGCTCCCTCTAAAGCACATCAGGACTTCAGGGCAGTGAAAAAAAAAATTTAAAAAACCAAGGAACCCAGCTCCTGGAAATCTGCATCTGAGGGGGCTGAGATCTGGCATCCTCAAGAGGGGAAATGGGGTGCTAGCCCATTCCTTGGGGGGGCCTCGGCACCCACGTTTTGAAACTCTACAGCGGTCCTGACAGGGCCACGTGGGTGCTTCTGCACTGTGCACCACCCTTCTGCTGGGCACCGCGAAGCTCTGCGGGGCCAATACCAGCTGGGACGTTAAGGAACCACTGGGACTTGTAGGAGTTGCCACGGGAGTGCGAAGCGGAGGTTTCCTCCCCCCTCGTGCCCTAGCTCGACCTTCCTTTCCCTGACACTGGGCGTCTCCGGAGGGCTTTGCTCCTCGCGTCTCTCCCCCCGCACCTCCCGCCCCTCTCTTCCTCGGGGCGTGGGCTTGCGCCAGGAACTAGTGGCCTTAACTACCGTCACGGACAGTCCCCCAAACTCTGAGCAAGTTCTCTGGCTGCGGGCGCGCTGTGCTCTCTGGGGTCTCTGCCTCGGGGCAGCGGACCCGGGGCGCCTCCACTCCCGCAGCGCCCAGGGTCGGACTCCCCTGTGAGGATGGCGACTTCAGGGTCCCGGCGCTTCTCCAGCTTGCCGAGGCTGGATGCCGAGGACTTGCCCCAAGCCGCCGGCTCAGCGCCACAGACCTCAAGTCTCCGGCTCAACTCGGATGGCTACACTTTCATGCCCGTCGTGCGGACGATCCCTCTGCAGGTGGACATGACCATGGCCCTGCAGCGCGCGAGGATCTCCGAGAAGTACGGGAAGAGCTACCTCTGCCTGCTGCAGAAGGTCTTCCTCGCACGTGAGTCCCATCCCTCCCGCAGTCCGGCTCCCGTGCGGCGCGCTCGCTGCGCGCCTCGGGCCGCTCCCTCCCCAGCCTGCCCGGCGAGCGCGCTGCGTCCCTCCCCGCACACGCGGCGCGCGCGCGCTGCCCCACTGCAGTGGCGCTCCCGGCGCGGCGCGCTCGCCGCGCTCCTCCAGCTCCTGCTCTGGCCCGGGGCCGCGCTGCGGGCGGCGTACAACCCTGCACTCCGTTGCCACTTGGAGGTGGCAGGGCGACCTCGAAGAAGCCCAGGAGGCGACGCCAGACTGGCCCCGGGTCGGTGCCTTCGGGCCTCTCTCCTTTGTCACCTGCTTCAGTGCGTCAAAGGAGAGGTGGGCGCAGAAGGTATCTCCCCGCTCCGCGCCCGGCCCTCGGAACCCGGCCGCCCTGAGGGCGCACGTGCTTCGGAATGGTCCCCGAAGCTGGGGGTGCCCGCAGCTGCCTTGCCTTCCTCCCTCCCGTCCTCCCTTCTGTCCTCCCTCTCTCTCTCCGAGCTGCCTTTTCTTTTTTCTTTTAAATAACACGCACGAAGGAAACCAGGCTAAAAAGGTGCTCAGTTTGTGAAAACGATGGGCGGGGATTGCAGTCGGAAACGGAGTTGGAGGGAAACAGCTGCTGTCAAGGATTTGGGCTTTTTACTTGGCATCTTTGGAGCTCGGTCGGTGAAGATGCGCCTTTGTCCTGAAGGACAAATGCAACCAAAGCTAACACTCACAAAGCCTTCCCTGCGGTCCCGCGGTTTGGTTGGGGTCCTGCTTGCTTGGTGTAACTTGGCTGGATGCACCCAGGAGCCAGAGCTGCCTGTTTTGGGGAGCAGTGTAGAGGGGACCCTTGTGATGAGACAGGGCCATCTGGAAGGGATGCGGGGTGCACGAGTCCTCCGCGCCCTGAATGGTGGACTTGGCTTTACCTTTGCGGTTACCTTTGTGATGGGAGTGTGGGTTTTCAAAAAATCGACTTGGTGGTTCTCTTCCCAAATCAAGCAGCCCACACACTTTGCAACTATGCCTCCTTACTGGAGGCCATCTGTGAAAGAAGAGGAGCGACGGACCTCTTCAGTTAAAGGGCAGGAAAGAGTTCAAGGCTGTAAGCACCTTCGCAGCTCCCTTAGTGTGGCTGATCTGTTCTGTGGTGGTCAGTGGTGTTTCTCTGTGTAATACTGAGTTCTCAGGGGAAGCCAGGCTCTGGAGCACAAACTCAGGTCTTAAGAGCAATGTAAACAGCTTTTGGAACGCTACGCAAAGAACTTCCCAGAAACTAAGTGTGAAGCGCTGTGGAAATTACTTTGTCTTTTTCTCATTTATGTCCTGCATCTTCCAAAGTATCACAACAAATCATCATAGGAGACGAATGCTTAATCACGATAATCAAATGGAAGTCAGCATTTCCACTGCCAGTGATTTTTTCTTTTTATTTCTAGAGCTGTGTGGTTGCTGCTTCATGTTCCTGGACCTTTGAAGGTTCATATCGCTGTGGCACTGTAGTATTTCACAGCACCTAAATGACACCAGTTGCTGTGTCATAGGAGCTGCCAGGACTTTCGTATCTTTTAGTGTTTTAAAGCAGTAACTGCTGCCTCCCAGAGCATGCCCTAGGAGTGATTGTGTAAGAACAGACATCACAGCACTGTAGTATAACTTTTTGCTGTTTTTTTGTTTTTGTTTTTGTTTTTGTTTTTTTTTTTTTTTTTTTTTTTTTTTTTTTTTTTTTTTTTGAGACAGCTGTCTTGCTCTATTCCTCCCCCTGCTGGTCTCTTAACTTGTGGGCTCAAGTGATTCTCCTGCCTCAGCCTCCCAAGTTGCTGGGATAGCAGGTGCATGCTACCACACCCAGCTTATATTATAATTTTAAATGTGAAAAGGTTTTCATATATGTTAAAAATCTTCGTATATATAAAATGCTATTTACAAAGCTTGTTAAAAAACTTTCTGGAAGATCACTTCCATGACAACTAGCTACAGATGGCTGGTTATCAGGAATTACATGCAGTGTAATTAGTTAGTTGCATACATGTGTGCAGGATCTATCAGGGTCGGCCTGAAGATGGAATGATTGGCCTCGCTGAGGGAGAGGGGAAGGCTTCGTAGGGACGGCGATGGAGACAAGTTTCTAGGTGGACGAGCAGTGGGCGCAGAGTGTGTTAGGGAGAGGTAGACAGAAGGGTATTCCAAGCAAAGACATAAGATGGGTGAACAAAGTAGGCAGGAGAAAGCGCAGTAGGCTTGGGAAATTGCAGGTGTTTTAAAATGATAGGAGCCAGGTGCTACAGCATAGGCCTGTGGTGCACTTACTCAGAAGGCTGAGCTGAGAAACTTGAGTGCCAGAGTCTTGAGATCAGTGTGGGAAACAAAGCTACACCCTGCCCTAGCACTCCCCCAAATATAGGGCTAGGGGTGTAGCTCAGTGATAAAGCCCTAGACTAGCATGTTCAAGGCCATGGGTTCAGTCCCTAACAATCCAAAAAGTATAAAATGATTGGACTGTAAAGTATGAAAAGTACAGAAAAGAAATTTGGGGAGCTATGGGTGACACCAGATAGATAGAGGCTTATAAGATATCTTAAAGACGTTCATTTTATTTCCAGGGCAGTGGGGACCCTGGAGTGCTCAGAGCAACAGAATAAAGCAAGGCTGGTTTGTATGGGTGCATGGGTTGTGCATTGCATAGTTCTTAGGGGCTCCGTCTTTACAGACAATGCTATGTATAATGCTCTTGCTGGGATTCTTGACAGTAACTAAGCACGGTGGTGTTACTGGGATTTTGGAGTGCTGGTCTCAGGGCCAAGTAAAAGTAGGAAATAAAAGGAAGAAAAATGCATTTTCCATTATCAGGTGGGCTATCCTAATGAGATATGCTAGCATACAATTAGTCCTGACTATCCTCTTTTATATTCCTCACCCTGACATAACCTCGAGGTCTTCCTATCAAAAACCTGCTGGAGTTCTCCTAAGAAGTCCACGTGCCAGGCTTTGAGAACTGTTCTGTGCTGCCATGCCCAGTGGAGATTCACCATTTTTAGTGTCTGATTCTTTTAATCTCTCAAAATCTGTAGTCCTTTAGGATGGAAACCTTTTTTAAAAGATGATTTACCTTCCTAGCTCCTGAGCCTGGAAATAGTTGCATCCTTTCTTGAGGACTCAGGTTGTGCCTGCAGTAACCTTTGTGTTAGTGTACTGTGTGCAGGGCCACCCTGGGGCGGTTGGTGTACAGCTGTGTGTCCTTACAGTAAATGGGCCAAGTGGGTGTGGAGTGTTCTGCTAACCTTTTTACTTTGTAATGCCTGCTTTTGCAAATCTTTCCACACCATACCTTGTCTGTTAGCTGTCATATCTTGCGGCTATTAATCTGACCACTTCTGCCAACCAGTTATTACTGCCTTGTCTTCCATTGCCCTGGCCTGTGTGTTAGGAGTTAGGGAATGAGATAAACACACAGGTTAAAACTGTCAAATAACAGGAGTAAATAGACCATGAGGACTGCTGCAAGGAGTCTTTTTCTAATGCATATAAACTTTGGTACAGTCAGGGACTCTGTGATATCTCTTCTGATTGCATAAATGTTCTTCATTTTCCTTGCCAGTTATTGCCTGTATTCTGGAGGACTGGGGCTGTGAGATAAATTATTAGTAAAATTTGTGTAATTAATTACAGAATGCAAGATTGTAATACTTTACTTCCACATAAGACACACCACCAAGGCTTATCAGACTTGTTAGCTACATTTCCCATTGCCTTTCTCTGGCTTACCTGGAAGCGCTCTGCACAAGGAAACACTGTATTCTTAGGAGACGCCCCGGAATTGAAAGCAAATGTCCTTGTCCCTGGTTGGCATCTTCTGAAGCCAAACACTTTCTGGCAGCTCCATAAACAACCTTTCTATTCCCCTCTGGAAGGCAGAAGCAGATGCCACCCCATGCAGATCTAGGCCTTCTGCCTGCTGGTCCACAAAGCCAGGGTCTCTTTCTCGCTCCCACATCTCTTCCAGAGACGGCTTCCGACCAGAGGCCACTGCCACAGCAACTTTTCGCTTATTTTTCTCATGCAAACTTTCTCCTGTTTTGTGTGTGTGGGAAATACACTCCAACTGACTTCTTGTTACTTTCAGGACCAGAAAGGTGATGTTTGCAAAAACTTGAAGGAGGAAGGGAGCCCTCACTTTTCTGAGAAGCTGTATGACAGGCAGATGAGCTGAGACAAGACAACTGTCAAGTTCAAGGAATGAGAAGGGGCCATGTGGCTGAAGCATGGGGGGTATTCCTGTGTGTGTGTCTGTGTGTGTGTGTGTGTGTGTGTGTGTGTGTGTGTGTGCTCGTGCATGTGCACTTGGTAAAACCATGGATGCAACAGGCTTTGGATCCCACTGGGCTTGTTAAAGACTTAGCTTCCTTTTCTGAGGCAGCTGAGGAGCTGTGGGAAGGTTTGGGGCACAGGAGTGGTTTCTGTGTTCACAGGCTGCCCTTGGCTGCTGCATGCAGAACAGGCTACAGGGGATAGATACCGAGAGAGGCCCCAGGGCCAGTGTGCAGGTTGTTAGGGTTGATGACCACAGCTGGACCCACAGAGGTGACAGTGCAGGTGATCTACATGCCACATGCTGGATTGATTGAAGATACAGCCAAATAGATTTACTGATGGTTTAGAAATGGGATAGGACAGAAAGAAAGGAAGCAGGAGTGACCCTAAGAATTTTGGCTTGATCCAGGCGTTGGCAGAGTGTCTACTAGTGGAGAATTTGGGTCCTACAGGAGGAGGGAAAATCATGAGCACCAGAAGTTTGATGAAGGACCTTTTAACTTCGATGTCCTTATTCATGTCCATATGGGGCTGTCAAGTGGGCAGCCTGACGTCCAAGGAAGGAGGGGCTGTGGGCGGGGCATCTACGTTTGGGAGTCATCAGCCATAGAGATGGTATTTAAGGTCTGGATGAATGGGCATAGTGTAGAGAGAGGAGAGATCCTCAGACAGCTGTTTGTACCTGCA